ATTTAGGTAGCACTATTTTGATCTGAAAATTAACAAAGAATAGCAAATAATGGCAGAAAATAAATAATCATTCAAAGGCTAATAAAAAGATTATGATATTTTTGTTATGGGGATATTAATGTAATTCTATACACCTCTTATGTTTGATTTGTTTTTAGTTGAGATTCCACATCACATTTGGAAACCCACTAGTCTGATATTGATTCGTTCATCAGTTATACAAATAATTGTCTCTACATTTGTTCACAGTTATTTGCATGGATGATAAATTATTGTCATTTACTGATTTATGTTATTGTGATCGAACAAAGTTTTGCTAGTTGTAGTTGCTTCCTTTACTAAAATAAGGAGAGGTAAGAGCCTCAAATTTCAGCTATGGTTATTTCCTTTACGCAACATTTCCACGAGTAAATTATAAAAAAAAATAAGTTTGGGTGGATCTCTAAAGCAAACTAAACTCTTGCCTAAACATAAAAGGTTTGTTCGTGTTTTTTTTTTTTTGCGGAGACTATAGGGAGATCTCGATAATTAAAGAGAGGGGAGCTAAAAAAGATATATTTTATAAAGCTATAACAGCAGAAGCTTCTGTACAGCTAGTAGGCGTTTTGGAGCTTTAATTAGTAGCAGGCAGCCCCCAAAACAATTCCAATAGTGCGCTCTGCACTAAAAATGAGAAAACGTCTTGTGTGGGAGTCCCCAGGTTAACTAAGCAAAAATATAATGATTAACGTCTTGTCCTTCTGAATAAGGTAGAAAAAAAATGATACTGCAAAATCGTCCAGAATTTGCCTCACATACATGCTATCAAGCTAATGTACCGTCGCACCTCTGACTACCCTTCTCTACAGCGGCCACCTTGGAACAGAGGAAAGTATCCGTTTTGGCCATTATGGGAAGTAAGGGTGTAATAATTATGACAACTGTTTTTTTTTTCGGGGTGCAACATTTTTAATAAAAATGCTTACTGTAGCATAAAAATACGTAACACAATCAAAATATATCAATAAAACAGAAACCAAACAGAAACAGAGACCAACGGGGTGTGGTATGGATCAAGTTTTGTGACCTTTTACATAACAACATGGGGTTTTGAATGCACCGTTCAACAATCCTTGGTTAACTGGCTGTTGTCAAGAGATTATTTCGACAGTTGAGATGCACTTCAGTGACTGTTCCTGTTGTGAAGAGGTGACCATTGTAGAGAGGTTAAAAAAATACCCGCCTTGGTTTTGAATCATTCTGAACCCAATTGAAGCATGCATGTAAACGTCCATTCAAAGCGTCTGCGCTGAGTTCAAATCATTTTTTTCACTTAGACGGACCAGGTTCCACACCCCTTGTCGGTGAGTTTGTGTCTCATAAAGGTACGTTATTACATGAAATTTTCGCGACACTTTAACTTCGCGATTTAAAAAAAGTCGCGAAATTTAAGTGACGCGAAAATTAAATGTCGCGAAATTAACATGATGC